CAAGGGGTTCACATACTTTTTCTTGCAACTGTATCTTTTCTTTTGCAGGTTGGATAGAATAGTCTTAGAATAGGGGTGGGAGTAGATTTAGGTTAGACTGGAGTTCCACTTTAAGTGAACTGCAACAGACTAGCTACGTTTGAATGAAGTCTTACAATTCTGTGTAAATACATTTCTGACACGTAACAATTTACAGAAGCAGTATCCAGGATAATGTTGTAAAAAATGTCCACCTTTTTTCATTTTATAGCAGTCCTTGAGCTCCAGTCAAGTGACTTTGCCTAGGCTGTGATGATGTCATCAGTCTGCTGCATGCAGGAGAAAGCATTTCCTCAGTCCCCACTCCCATAGTCATCAGACTGCCAAACTGTAACTTTGTACCAAGTCACTAGGTGAAAGGCTGCAGCTGGGGCTGCTCTGTGTCAGACATTTGTTAACACCAATAACTGCACAGACACCAGGATTTATATGATTGTGTCAACTCTGAGCTGTCATCTTGGTTCAGGAAGTAGATGGTGATCCTGGATAATGCCTGAACAAAGGTGGCTCTGTCCTGGAGAGAAAAGAAGATGAAGGCATTCTCATGAATTAGTGGGATCTTTTTGAAGGGAAAAGGGTTACACTTACGAAATACTTATTATACATGCACTGAAGATTAAAAACAAATCTATCCAATGCTCGGTCCACTTTAATACATCTTCTGCACCAAGCTGCAGGTCACTTAGCTAGGTGTGCTGGGATTTGTCGCTGTCCAGCAGCTGATGGTCTGCAGATACAATATAACAGTGTTTATTGCAGCACTTCACCTTTCTACATCAATATAGTGAGACAGAAGACTGTGCTCCAGATAAAACAGACAGCCAGATTTCCCTGCAGCAGAACTGTGTGTTTAGCCCACTTTAATGGCCAGCCATGTGTCTTCAGAGATTATTCCCCATAAGGTGTTTAGTAAACAAGTGACAGGGAGCCTGACCATGTGAACATCACTCTGCTCCGCTGATGTTCGCTCGCCTTCATGTAAATCTGTTCTTTTTTCCAGCAGCGTCCAGAAAATTGCAGTACATGTTTGTTTCAGTACGATTAACTCTTCATCCTTTCTGGCAACACAACGGTTGCTGAATTTAAACTGTGAACCCGAGGGAAAAAATATACAGCATGGTCAGTTTTATAATACAGAATAAGACTAATGACAGAACTGACCATCACGTGTAGAATTGACAGTCACACATTTTATATACAGTTGTGTTCAAAATAATAGCCGTGTGTTCAAAAAAAGTGAATAAAGCTCAAAATCCTTCTAATAGCTTTTATTTCCATACACACAAATGCATTGGGAACACGACACATTCTATTCCAAATCAAAACATGAAGAAAAATAGATCAAATTTGTGTTGTTCCTCTAAAAAAAAAATTGAAGAAAAGTGAATATTAGACTGTTCAAAAAAATAGCAGTGTTTGTATTCTTCTTTACATACTCAAACATTCACTATATAAACTGAAAAATGTTTGAATATTTTGCTTTCCTTTGAATCAATTAATGAATATTTGGTTGTATAAGCACTGTTTCTGAGAACTGCTGTACATCTGTGTTGCATGGAGTCAACCAACTTCTGGCCCCTGTGAACAGGTATTCCAGCCCAGGATGATTGGACTACATTCCACAGTTCTTCTCTTTTTCTTGGTTTTGCCTCAGAAACGGCATTTTTGATGTCACCCCACAAGTTTTCTATTGGATTAAGATCCGGGGATTGGGCTGGCCACTCCATAACATCAATCTTGTTGGTCTGGAACCAAGATGTTGCACGTTTACTGGTGTGTTTGGGGTTGTTGTCTTGTTGGAACACCCATTTCAAGGGCATTTCCTCTTCAGCATAAGGCAGCATGACCTCTTCAAGTATTCTGATGTATTCAAACTGATCCATGATCCCTGGTATGCGATAAATAGGCCCAACACCGTAGTATGAGAAACATCCCCATATCATGATGCTTGCACCACCATGCTTCACTGTCTTCACAGTGTCCTGTGGCTTGAATTCAGTGTTTGGGGGTTGTCTGACAAACTGTCTCCGCCCACTAGACCCAAAAAGAACAATCTTACTTTCATCAGTCCACAAAATGTTGCATCATTTCTCTTTAGGCCAGTCAGTGTGCTCTTCGGCAAATTGTAACCTCTTCAGCACGTCTTTTTTTCAACAGTGGGACTTTGCGGGGGCTTCTTGCAGATAGCTTGGCTTCACATAGGCGTCTTGTAATTGTAACAGTACTTACAGGTAACTTTAGACCTTTGATCTTCCTGGAGCTGATTGTTGGCTGAGTCCTTGCCATTTTGGCTATTCTTCTATCCGTTCGAATGGTAGTTTTTCACTTTCTTCCACGTCTTTCAGGTTTTGGTTGTCATTTTAAAGCATTTGCGATCATTTTAGCTGAGCAGCCTATCATTTTCTGCACTTCTTTATATGTTTTCCCCTCTCCAATCAACTTTTTAATCAAGGTACGCTGTTCTTCTGAACAATGTCTGGAACGACCCATTTTCCTCAGATTTCAGAGAGAAATGCACTGTAACCAGCATGTACAACATTTGCTGCCTTCCTTCCTTAAATAAGGGCAATAATTGCCACCTGTTTTTCAAAGAATGAATGACCTCACTAATAGAACTCCACACTGCTATTATTTTGAACATGGCCCTTTCAATTAGTGATTCAATTACACAGAACAGCAGCATGCATGTCATGACGGTTGGATTTCTATTACTCTACTACACCTGCTAGTAAATTATTTGCCAAGTAGAAATATAATTTCTACAAAAACAGTGATTGATCAGGTTAGTGATGTCTGACTGCTATTATTTTGAACACAACTGTATGTAAGCTTACCTTTAGATACTATCCTTGGATGTAGAATTACTTTTATCTTCTGTAGACATTCTCGAAGGAAACCCTGCTGTAAAGTAGAAGGCTGTAAAGCTATGGTCAGGTTGGCTAAAACAGTGGTCTTCAAACTGCGAACCATAGGCCAGATGTGGCCCTTTGCTTGCTGATATCCATCCCTTGAAGACTATTCATTCCACTGAAAAGTGGCACTGTTCCTCCTGCTGACACCAACAATGGGGCACTATTGCTTGCACCAATACCAATGATGGCACACACTTCCTCCCACTGACATCAACGATGGGACACTGATCCTCCCATTAACACCAACGATGGGGCACTGATCCTCCCGCTAACACCAACGATGGGACACTGATCCTCCCATTAACACCAACGATGGGGCACTGATCCTCCCACTAACACCAACGATGGGGCACTGATCCTCCCACTAACACCAACGATGGGGCACTGATCCTCCCACTAACACCAACGATGGGGCACCTGATCCTCCCACTAACACCAACGATGGGGCACTGATCCTCCCACTAACACCAACGATGGGGCACTGATCCTCCCACTAACACCAACGATGGGGCACTGATCCTCCCACTGATGACAAAAATGAGAAACTATTCCTCCTAGTGATACCAATGAAGGGACATAGTTTCTCCCACTTATACCAGCAATGGACCACTGTTCCTCCCACTGATACCAGCAATGGGCCACTGTTCCTCCCACCGATACCAGCAAGGGGCCACTGTTCCTCCCACTGATACCATCGATGGGCCACTGTTCCTCCCAACGATACTAGCGATGGGCCACTGTTCCTCCCACTGATACTAACGATGAGCCACTGTTCCTGCCAGTGATACTAACAATGAGCCACTGTTTCTGCCAGTGATACTAACAATGAGCCACTGTTTCTGCCAGTGATACTAACAATGAGCCACTGTTTCTGCCACTGATAACTATGATGGGCCACTGTTCCTCCCACTGATACTAACAATGAGCCACTGCTCCTCCCATTGATAACAATGATGGGGCACTATTGATCGCACCAATACCAAATGATTGGGGCACTATTCCTTTAACTGCTGAACACAAGCACTATGTAATTTTCTTACTCCCACTGCCAACCAATCCTGAGGCGTTGTTTAATCCACTAACACTGTGGTAATTTCTGCTGTTACTGGCCACAGTCCTGCCCCCTAAAGTCTCTAAAAGGGCAGTAAACTGACCCTTTGTTTAGAAAGTTTGGAGACCACCCCTGGGCTAAAGGAAGTCTTTCTTCAACTCAATCAATAAAACAAAGTCCGCTCTTGAGAAAAATTAGCCTGAAAATTGACATGAAGCTCTCCTAGATTCACTTTAAATTACCAGAGTGTGAGATTCTCAGACATTCTCATGCTTTGGTTAATAAGTTCATTCAGTGGATTACAAGTACTTTTTATCCTCAAACCTAACTCCATGTAAATATAAAATACACAAATTAATGCAGTTATACATTCATTAATTCATCATTAATAGCAAACAGTAAAGGCAGATAAATTTGATTTGGTTTCAGCCTCTTGTACTTGTACAGCAGGGCTTAGACTGGGAAAGGGCAAAAGCAGCATAAGGAGACAGACAAGTTGGGTTACAGTGCCGATGTGCTAATGAGGAGCATGTGAATAGGAGAGGAGAACAGAAAGATGATCTCATCTCTCTGCTGGACACTTTTTAGTGTTACATAACTCTAGCAAAGAAAAATGAGATTTTTCTGTCTGAAAGGACTGTGCTATGTGATAGAACTTCTCGAGACTGGATGGACAAGACTACAAGTCCTTTGGCTTATAAAGCAGCTCTTATATTTGTATTTCATCGGTTTGCCTGGAGTTCAGCACTTATTTTAGCTACTGTTAGTTATAATTACTGTTACTAATGGAAGTGTGTTCTACCTCTTTTATTAAAGTGATTTGTACTTGCTTTTAGACTGAATTGCTTCTCTATTGTATGAAATCTATCCACAATAAATAGTGATAAACACTTATTATTTACTGGTGTATTAATGGAGTAAGTTATGTAAGCTACTGTCAGTTCCCAAGTCTCAGGGTGACAAACACCTGTAACTTTGTAGTTTTTATGTCTTTGCAGTGTGATGCTGGCATGCTTCTCTGGACATCTGGATGTTGTGCAGTATCTAAGGACACAAGGAGCATCATGGGAGAACCAAGATAAGAGTGGATGTACTGCCATGCACTGGGCAGTTGATGGCGGTCATGTGAAGCTCATTCAGTGGATGATTAATGATGGTTGTGAGGTATGATACCTGCCACTATCTGCAGCACAGGTTCAGAGTAGATGGAGTCAATTAAGACTGGAGCAGTTCTTAAAAGGTTGGTCACCTAAATCTGCCATTTCAGCTATGGACACACAGGGGAGTTTAATTGTTCACTGGCTTCTTATACTTCTCAGATACTACAGTGGTCATTTCTCACTGGTGGAGTCTTCAGAGTGGTTGGCTTCGACATAGAATTTCACTTCTCATCCAAATATTATAAGATATTAAACTGTCCAAGTGAGACAGCTTGACTTGGCTATAGAAGAAGACCACAGGTGGGAATTTTTGAAGTAGAGGTCTTGGGAGGTCTGTCCACGTATAGAAGAGTTATGTACAAAAATCTTTTACATAAACAAGTTAATTTGTTTTAGAAAGCATTTTTTATAATGTGCTTATGGTTGTAATATTTCTCTACTTATACCATGACTTATCTTTTCATTATCATCATCATCATCATTATCATTGGGAAACTCCAGGAAATCACTCATTATAAAGCTGAAATGTACAGTATATACTATGTTTACTGTCTTTCCTGATCTGTAAACTTGTTCAGCCAAACATGTGATGTACACATTTTGCTCATTATATAGTCAAATAGGTGACATCTGTAGTTCCCACTCAAGCAATTTATCTTCCTGGTCCAGTAATTTAACCTCCTGCTTGCACATTGTATCAGCATACTGACCTCTGTCCAGGAAGTTGACATTCACCTAATTTGGCCATGTGGCTTTATTAGGTTATTGATGACATAAGCATCCCTGCCCCCTTGTAACGTCCACTGCAGAGCAGGAAGTCCCTTGCAAGCAGCTCATTGTACCAGGAATGACAGCTGGTTTCTGTGTTCAGACCTGAGCCCGCTATTGAACAAATCAACATCTATAGTCAGGATTGGGAATGAGCTTGGATGTCCTCCAAACTCATCTCTAACCCAAGTTCTGAACTCCTTCTTTTTTGCACCCACGTGAGCTGCAGGATGGGTCATTCCCTCTGCCCTAGCTCACATGAGCTGTGTTATGGGGAATGACCTGGTCCACAGCTCATTGGAGTACAAAAAATCAGGAGTTCACAGTTCAGGTTGGTGATGAGTTTGGAGGACAGCCATGTTCATCTCTAATCCTGACCAGTGTTGGCTGCTTGAGCACAAGACCAGCTGTATTACAAACTTGTTGGCAGTTAAAACAGTAAACGTATGTATTTCAACTGTTTTTAGAAATGGAGTTCCACCTTGAAATGACTGTTGCTAAAAATAAAAATAAAAGTTCTGTAAAAGAGAGACTATATAGTTACCTGTACTGGTACACATTGGTAGAATCAAACCCTGAATGAGGAAAGAACAAAGAGAGGGCGCACGGGCCTAGTGCATTACCATAAAAAATGTTTAATAACAAATAAAATAGGTGTTGTACTCACAAACGAGAATAAAGTCAAGGCACATCATAAAAGAACAGCTGGGTCAACACGCGCTGAGTAACAGTCCGCAATGGGGAGTGTAGACATCCAATAGGCTGATGCGTTTCGAGGACTTGCCTCTTCCTCAGAGCCACCAAGTTATTCTTGTTTGTGAGTACAACACCTATTTTATTTCTTATTAAACATTTTTTTATGGTAATGCACTAGGCCTGTGCGCCCTCTCTTTGTTCTTTCCTCATTCAGTATATTTGGATTCCCCCGGTCCATTTGAGGGCAGCAAGGTGTGCATGTTCCAGGACATTCTTAATGTAGTTGTAGCCTGCATCAAGTCCATCCCCAAGCGCAGGAGCATTTGTGTTTGCTGTTTCGTAGAATTAAACCCACCTGACGAATCTTCACATCCAAACATTACTAAGTGCTCTTCCAAAATAACTCTCCCTAGATTAACAACTTCATTAAAGGTCTCTCTGTAAAGAAAAGACTTTATACTTGCTTGTCTGAATGCTTGAATTGCTAATCTTTGCTCCATTAAAGAACAATGGTGGATGCCGAATATTCAGCTTCTAAAGCCAGCCATAGATGATGGATCAAATCTCAGCTGGTTCAGCAGGGACCATCCATCATTTTACTTTAGTACAACCAGCCTGTTTGGATTTTTTGCATGTGACCACTGCTGGCGGCTGTAGCCACCACCAGTAATCATTGTGTTCTGCAGGCACGGAAGGCTGCCCACTGGCCGAACACAATATCACTATGGCTTTCATAACATGCTTTGGGTTGTGTCAGTTACCTTGGTCCCCTACTGTGCTCTGTGGCTCCTCTCGCTGGCTTGTTCTTCATTACTGTGTTCAGGTAGGGAAATAGAAGATGGCAGGAGCGCAACCGGGGACCAGGCATCTGACAATTCTGGAAGGGTTGGATATTATGATTATTTGAGTGTCTTTGCTCTGCAACAGAGTTAAGATTCTAATAATTGTTTCTGGGACAGGTAAGTATAAAGGTCCTTTTACAGGAGCTTTGAGATTCCGGTTTGTATTTTATATAGATTCATAATTTATCCTATAGATTTCAGTTTAATATTATTATCGGTATCCTCTTTCTGAGACTGCTAGCATTGTTGTTATTTTATTATTGTTCCCTGATCTTAAAGATTTTTATGCATTGTTTATATTTTTTTTCTTTAGGTAGATACCAGAGACAGGCATTTAAAATGGACTCCACTGATGAGAGTTTCTGCTGTAACTGGAAACACAGACAGTGCACGATGTTTAATCAGAGCTGGAGCTGAGGTCAATGCTAAGGACAGGGATGGCAAATCCCCCTTGATGGTAATTCATATAGTATTTATTGCTACAGGCCAACCTGAGTGAAATATCTGTATTTGTTTTATTCTAATAGTTCCAAGTCCGCAGGACCTTTGCTGAGCTTTTTTTTGTGTTTTTATATCATTCTTGAAGTTTTCCTTATGAAAAACAAGATCCTGTATAGTCTTCTTTATACTTCTTATTTTGAACTCTTGATGTCAGTTAGATGAGTCATGGTACAGTGTCTCCACAGGAGTCACACCTTATAATAATAGCACTGAAGGCTACAAAGAACGGATTCAATCTTAAACTTCAAAGATTCTAGTAATTCACCAGGTATATGTAATTAACTTTCTTGAAAAAAGACTTGGGTACATTGAATGCCACCTTTGACTATTCCTTTTGTGGCCTCACAGAGGGAGAACAACGAGGCTTTCCTCAAAATTTGTTAAATTTGTTCAACTTCTGTTGAACTTGTTCTACATCTAAAATTTCCGTCTCATGTAGTGTTGCTGTTTGGGAAGATTCATCTTGGCCGGATACTTGTTTATGACGTCAGTGATCGGTAGTCAGACATAGGACCGGTTCACACCGGTGCATTGAGGTAACGCAGTATAAAAGTGTGTTTTGTCACACATTACCACAAACACTGGCAAATTGTGTGATTTGTTGTGGTGCCATTCATTCTAAATAGAACCTCAATGTACTAACTCAATGCACTGCAGCACAAGTGCATTGTAACACACCACAGCACACAGATGTGAACAATACACAATGTGGCATGTGCTATTTTCTGTGCGTTGCAGTCCATTCACAATGAATGTGTTTCCTAATACAACTCGCTCATTGAAGGTTCTCTGCTTTCTCTCACACACAGCATTTCTATAGTTTTAGTTATAGTGTATCTAAATCCAAGAAGAAAAATGTAATACAAGGTGGTATAAAAAGGTTTTAAGGCTAGTTTTGTAACCCGACAACTGATGGCAGCACAGGGCTGCACACCTAGTCACAGGGAGTACCAATCTTCATAAGTCAGTGTTCCAAAAGACATCGTCCCATGTACATCGGGAGCTGTGCAACTGGTGCTATTCTGACCATGTGCATTACCACGTCTGCTTACAAGTTTAGTCAAACAAAAAAATAAATATCAGCACAAGGAACCATAATTTCTATCAATGCAAAGTGCCCCTTGTGCTGATGGCTGCTGCTTTAGTTGAAATCCAAAGATCTGTGAATCCCCTTCAGATGTAATATTCTGTTGCTGTAGGGGTTAATAGAGCTAAGGGACCTGTCCTATGCATTCATCAAGAACTATGCCTGTCCTTTTCACCTTTCAAGTTATTTATGAATGGAGGCTAGGCATATGAATGACAGGTCTGTATTCTCCATTTATAGATAGCTTTTCATCCATAGAAGCTGTAGTACAGCTTTTATGAATGGAGGAGGGGGCAGGAAGGGTGGTCATAGTCTGTACTCTTAACAAGTTCCTCTCTCAGGTTCCTCAGCTCTGTTATCACCTGTAGCATCTGGAGATTACCACTGCTGAGGTAGTAAAAGGGGTTCAGAGGGCATTAGATTTCAATCAAAGCTACTGCCACCAGCAAAAAGGACACTTTTCATTGATAGAAAGTACTGTCCCTTGTGCTGATTTAAAAAAAAAACAAACAAAAAAACAGTTTGATTAAGCTCAGGCTTAAAATGATAATTAAAGGCAGAATTTTTTTTTTATGTGTTGGATAGATGGAGGGATTTGTACGTTTGTCAGTTTTTATTGCTGTCTTTGCCCCCATTAAGGAGATTCACCCTCTTTGTTTGCCCTGTTTATTATCATTGAAAGTGAAAGTAAAAGAAAACCCCAAAGTTTGGGTTACCCCAGAAAAGTAATAGAAAATATTCCATTGGGGACACTAGTTTTGGTGACCTGTGGGGCTTCAAGGAATGCCCCTAATTTTCAGGAATTTCCTCCTACTTCTTGTCTGGCTATAGGACAGGAAGTGAAGGGAAGTCTCCACAATGGGACACAGATGGCAGAAAAAAATCTGATAGGAGTTTTAACCCTCCTTTGCTCTGTTCAAAATGAAAGAAAAAAAGGTTTGCCTATAGTTCTGCTTTAAGCAAATAATTTCTTTTGAATCTGTTGCCAAGTGTGTTGTGTACAGATCCTGCCAGTAACAGCCCTTCTTGTTGTAGGCTGACCATGCTGCTGCTTCATGCAACATTGTTTTAGTATTGTCAGCCTGCAACGGGAAGTGTTACTGGCAGGATCTGTAGGTAAGAAACTTTATACCAAAATACAAAGAAAACTGTATACAGGGAAACGTGATGCCAGGCATACTACAAAAAATGAGTTTCCATAAACTTTAACAACCATTATTTCCAGCACAGAAAAGGTTTAGCTATGGGATGTAAAATTGTCTTGCTGTATTCGTAACTGTTCTGAGAGTGTTGGAAGGGATATGCACAATTTTAGGGGGCTTATTGTTTACAGTATTGGGCAGACCATCTGTATATGGGGCGGCATAGAGGACAGTTTAAAGAACTTTCTGGGTAATAATGAGAAAAGGAAGCTTGAGTTTGTTGCACTTATAGTCAAACTGCAGTTAATTACTTTAGATTTAAGGACTGTGATTATAAATAATGAGATCATGGCGAGCATCTTTTTCAAACCCACTGATTGTGATGGGTATTTACAGGCAAATAGCTGTCATTATAAGAAATTGGCTAAAATATCCCGAAGGGACAGTTCCCGAGATTAAAATGAAATTGTATGCAGCAAGAAAAGTTTATGCGGGGGAATTGGAGAAGAAATGTTATGAAATGAAATATAATAAGAAAATTGGTAACTGAGCATCGGCAGAGTTTAAAGGGACAGGTGGGTTGTTTTTGATTAATGGAAGTCACAGTAGAGGTAGAAAAGAAGAAACAAATGAGAGTCTGCTTTATGAGTACATTCAAGGAAGGAGTAGGAGTGATAAAATCCAATATTAGAAATTGCTGGTCAATCTTAAAACTCCACTTTTGAACTTATACCTACAGGTAAGTCTATAATAAGGCTTACTTGTAGGTACAGTGAGTATCTAGTAAACTTGTGGTGTTTAGGAGATATTCACACAGGATGCAGCCGGTGACGTCACGGGTGCATGTTCTCCAATGGGATGACATACTTATGCTGTCCCTTCAGAGCTCTGTGCAGTGGCTGTGACTCCCGCACACATAAGCTGGAGCTCGGCCATTCAAGCGGCTGCAGCTCGTGAACCCAGAAGGGAGACCAGGTGAAGATAGGAGCCCTGTTAGCAGGGACAGCGTGTCACTGGAGGGCTTTGTTTTAGGGTGAATATGCCATAATGTGCTAGTATTCAGTGCAAACTAGCACATTAAGGCTTAAACCACCCAGGGCTCATGGTTTTTTTTTTCTTTTTCTTTTTTTTAAAGAAAGTCTAAAAGGGACAGTGAAGTATTTACATATTCTTAACCAGCATGCTACCTATAGCAGCCATTTTCAACCAGGGTTCCTCCAGGTGTTGCTAGGGGTTTCTTGAGCTGTGGTTGATTGATCTCCCATTTAATAGTGCCTGCATAATTTTAGGATCAACATCAATTGGCAAAGCCAGAAGCATGACACCAATTATCTTTTTATCATTCTGTAAGGGTTGCAATCTTCCTTCTGACTGCCAATGTAAGGGGCATTTCCCCATTTTTCCCTCATAAATTGGTTTTAGTAAGGGTTCCCCAAGACCTGGAAATTATTTTAGGTTTTTCTGGGGTAAAAAGGTTGAGAACGGCTGATCTATAATGTTGCTAACAGTCTAGGTGTTCATTAAGCTTGCTTATGCATATGTATTCTTAGAGCATGAAGCTCGTTACTATCTTATTCATCTATGAGCTTTTTCCTCATTTTTGCATCCACTGAAGGATTTTATTCGTTGGAATAAAGTGTTGATTTACTGTATATACTGCATAAGTGCAATATATAAAAAGATTTTATATTTATATAGTTATGTAGGATGAAGAAATCCAGTAGTCTACTATGTGTAAAGGAAAGTCGCACTCCAATGACCTCACATCTTTCAAGATTAAAATGACAATGCACATCCAAATCCCCGCACCTCTAACATGTTTCATGCATCTGGGCTTAATCTATGATGTGACAAGGGATGTCATAGATGTGTGACTTTCCTTTATACAGTGTTTTCAAAGAGCAGGAACAGACTTCAGCAGCCAGCACCCGGCAAGCCCACAGGCTGGGGATCACATCAGCAGTTTCTGATGGGTGAGACTTGGGAGTGATATAACAAAAGTCTACTGTTTCAACTTGGCATTGGGATTTTATGGTTTTTTGTATGAATAGTTGGTTTTTGAATGGAATAGAGATACTTTTTTTCATAGCACACACACAGGCACTCAACAGATATTTTTGTATTGGTCCACAGTAGCCCATAAAGCAGTGTTTGGCTCTAGTTAAAGATGTATTCCAGATATGGATATTTTATACATGGTTACATTAGTCCAGGTTGAACCAATATAACCATCTATATACCATACCTAAAAAAAACATCAAAACAGTGCAAATAAACACTCAAAAAATATCAAATAATACAAATAAAATCATAAAGAAAAAAAATTAATTAAATAGTCCCAATTCAAAAAAATAAAAAATGTGAGTAGAATGAAATTGATTGGGGGATCTCCATCTTGTCCTGGTAATTGGAGGCTGAGTTGAGGGGATCTAGGATTCCTGAGCCCATACATAAGGCGTTTTTTTTTTTCACCAATATCTGGTGAGTGCGGTATGTGATTTTAGAACAAACGGGTGTGAATACTGGTCAAGGGTCTTGGAATAAGGACTTTCAATTTCATTCTACTCACCATATTTTATTTTTTTGGAGTGGGACTATTTAATTAATATATTTTTTCTTTGTTTTTTTTTTGTATTATTTAATATTTTTTTGAGTATTTATTTTTGCTGTTTTGATGGGTTT